AACTAGCTGCCGGCAATATATTGCGGTAATACCGCGTATGTGTCATTGTCTTGATCAACAGAGCTTTTTGTACTAGTAAAGATAACTGCAGTAACTGAGAAATAGTGATACGAGCAAGACAAAACTATCCAAGACGATAAAACAAAATATTACCAATAAGAATATAGGTAAATTACAATGTACTAAAAGAGCAATGTTGCTGAAGAATCTAAAAATTTAGCTAGATACAAATCTGAAAAATAATTGCTGGACCATTAAAACAATTAGGTAAAACGATAAAATTGGTTGCTATAGAATATCAAAACATTTTGCAGCATTGCTCATTATGCTTAAGATGCTAATTCAGTAAAATTCAGTAAAATTCAGTAAAATTATTTTGATCCAACAAAATTATTTTCATATCTATATCTAGCCAAATTTTTAGATTCTTCAGCAAAATTGCTCTTTCAGTGTAGAAAATTTAGATTGCAAAACATATACAACTTTAGATTAAAGAATACAGATCTTTTTATATTATTTAAAAAAAATTTTTTTCTATAAAAAATTATGGACAAATTATTACTTCACACAGTTCATTTAATATTTCCTATATCGCATATTGACGATGAAATTTGAGATCCGGGGGAGTATTGTTTCCAAATCGATAGCTGTAATAATGGGCATCCGGCTGAATGACAATTTGTGAATTAATGGATGTATTCTCAACATTGTATATTGATGTAAATATGGATTTCATAATCAGCTTATAAACAGAATATCTGCGAAAAGTAATTAGTATTGTGAAAGGGTCACGTCTATTCGTCAAAATACAGGTTATTCCCTTCAAAACGTTTTAATTTTGTTCCAATATCAAGATAATATCGTATCCTCTCGCTGTATAATATCGTAATTCTCTCAAACAAGTCTCAATTTACTCATATTTTGCGTTTCATCTCACGAGCGTAGTAAAAGCTATCCTGGAAAGGCTTTGTTTAACGAGTCAAGGGTCGACGGTGCACTTTACGAGTGACGTTAGACGATCTAAAATGTAGGTAAGAGAAGAGAAAACAGAGCCGTTACTGCACTTCAGCTATGATATGCAAAATGGAAGATTTTTATACAATATGGTGGCTGTATGAGCGATCAAGTTCAACTCGCGTTTCTCAAGGACATTTTGACCTTGCATTTCTTGGACGTAATATTGTTTGTACCAAGACGGTGGTTTAGAATTATTTTATATTCCCTAATCCTATCGAATATCACAAAGAATATTTCAATAAGGAATATTTTATTTCTACATGTTTCTCTCAAGACCATACTTTGATGAAATTAATATATGAAATTAATATATGTGAAATTAATATAAAAATATAGAATATGTATATTATTAGTATATTATATACATTAGTTTTATATTTTCAAAAATATGTTATTTTAAAATATGTAATATTATTGTGCACTATATATATATAGAATAAGTTACATCACTGAATAAAAATTGAAACATTAAAAAAATATATCAGGTATATATTTGAATTAAATAAATTAAATTATTACATTTAAATATTTTTATGAGTTCATTTAAAATAAAACATATTTTACAGTTGATGATACTTTTTCAATTTTTATAAAAGCTCGGTCTTAATTCCATATAAAGTCTTAACAAAATTTTTAATTAATCAAATATAGAATTTATTTGGACCAGGACGAGCTTCCGCAAAATATTCATTGATTAATTACTAAACTAAACCATTATTTTATAACATTTCTTTTCAGAAAAAAAAAAGCAAAAAACAGTAAACAGCAAGTTTCTTCAGTGCACACCTAATTAAAAGAAGTGTGAAAAGTTTGGCAAAAATATTTTATGCAAGAATTTTTCAATATAACTTTAATGCGCAGCACCGAAAAAAATTTAATTTTTTTATGAAAAAAATATCTAGCAAAAGAGGCTGTACATTTAGCAAGTCATATTTGCACTCATGAGTAATTCATGTGTGCATCATATAGATGTATGCTTTTCGCGCATACATTTAGCCTGATTCAAGCCCGTTATATTCGAACGCGTAAAAATCGAATTGATAAGTCTTTTTATGCTCAAAAATATATTGTTTCATTTCATTAATTTACTGCAATCTGACATTCAAATTAAGCTATTCTGTTACAAGAGAATGCTACGTGCTTGAGTATCTGGAAAGAAAAATAAATGGAGATGAATACGTTACGCCGGATTATCAAAACGAAATGTTTACATCGATCAGACGAAAGCAATTTTATTCTGATTGGAGTACGTTTAAATGCTTTCGAATCCGTTCGACATAATTTCTCGAGTAGCACGGGAAAGATTTTCAGGTTGTTCCGCATTCATCGGCCGACATTTCCAGGTTGGAAGCATAGTAAATGTGTAATCTATTTTCGAACGTACGTCCCAGTTGAACGATGCCCGGTAAACGTTTGTATACCGGCCGACAAACACATGTTTGTACTTGGAATGTGACGCGACATAATTACTGCGGTTTGCCAGAGTGTGGTTGAGACGGACGTTGTAAATCGGGAAAGAATAACTGCGGTTAATATTTCTTCTCAAGCAATAAAAACTTTAAAAATAATAAAACAACAAAATAGAGAGAGAGAGAGAGAGAGAGAGAGAGAGAGAGAAAGTGAATAATAATTTATGCTTTTAAGCAGAGTTGGAAAGTAATAATTAAGTTACTTTTTTATAATGTTAAAGTAAGAAAATATAATATTAGATTTTAATATTATATTATTTAATAATAAATATTAATTATAATAACAAATATTAAAACTTAAAACCCTAAACTAATCTCCATATAGCAAAGTTTTCTTTATATTAAAAACTTATTCAATAAAAATTTTTTATAATTTAATATCTTTATTTTTTAATACCATTAGGAATTTAGATTGTAATTCACAAACACAAATTTTATTAAAAACTTTTATTAAGCATTGTTTTTAAACATTAATGTCATTATTAAGAGTGCATTCCCATACTGTCAATATTGAAAATTTATGGTTCACGTTACATATATACTATAGAGTTTCAGCATTGGCAGAGACTGTCGGAATACAGCCTACGATATAAAATACAAAATATTTTTTTAAATATTAAATTTCTATTAAAATAAAATGTTTGTTTTAATAAAAAATAACATGAATAGACATAAATACTTAAAAAATATTAAATAGATATAAAATAATAGAGAATGAATAATAAAAGTAATGACTGAATTCCGTTTTCCGTTACCGTTACAGACAGAGAAAAGTACCGATTTTTACCGAAAAAAGGAACGATAACGAATGGCGTAACAAGTAACGTAGTATTTCCCAACTTTGCTTTTTATTTAACAACTATATTCTTTCGACGTATTTCTAGGAAGCAAGAGATTGTAACGAAAAGCGATATTTGATGAACTACACAGAAATTAAGCACTTCCAGCTTTATGTGCCAAAAATAAGCTAAGATGACGCTATGAGAGGCGCTTTCAAGAAAATGAAAGATGACTGTTTCTTTGAATAAAGCAAGGTAAGTATTACAAAGCGAACAAAGGGTTCGCAATATTCTGCATTATTCAAAGCTAATTACTTTCCTAAAATAATTAGCTCCTACATTCAATATATTCAATATAGTCGATAACACTTGTAACATTAACATTTTATAATATCATTTTTACTTTGTATTTCTGAAATATTAAACGACACATCTTTATTTTAAAAGAAGTCATTGCTATATTTAAATAATATAATTTCCTAAATCAAAGGTAATGTAGTACGCGCATGTAGAAATGTCTGCTCAATCGTATCGTTATGTAATTGATATCATCGCAGCGTAGTAATACGCAACATTAAACGCGCCATATGCGTATTAATCATGAAACACGTATTTGTGTATGTCGCATATCCCGCGGGCTTTATACGAACAAGGCAGAATATTCTAATATAACATAAAATGAACACCATATTGTTCGTACTTCGATCAAACAGCATCCAATTAATTCTAAACATGAAACGAGGACTATTCGATCACAAAGGAACGTTGGTCTGTGGTTTAAACGCTTCTCTGTACTTACAAGTGACAAGAACAATTACATTTGATTTGCGTTAGTGCAATATGGACTCTCTATCGGATTTTGTATTTATAAGAATATTGCTTCTTTATAAGATCACATAAATTTCTTATAGAGAACTCAAAAGTAATTATAAAGTATTTATCTTTTTCTTCTTCTTTTTAAGAAGATATCGAGATAATAATTTTTTGCTACTCTTAATTAAATAAAATATATAAAACATTTAGAAATCTGTGTAGTCGTAATTTTCTTTTTGAATGTAGAAAGAAATGTTTTAATATAGAAATTGATTTCTTAAATATAGAATTTTGAATTCAATCTCGAGAAGAAAACTTAAAATTTTCTATTATTTTCACATTACATATCAATGAATAATTTCTTTAACAATTAAAAAAAAACTTCTATTGAAATTAGAAATAAATGGTAGCTGTATGAATTTCAAATCTAAAGCTTTATGTTTAATTCACATGCAATGGATGAGAAATCAGGGCGATAATATTATTGCAACATCAACGTGAGCCACATAGCGCATGTTTCATGTTTAATTTCATATTTACTCCGTAGCAAATCCAATTCGTCATAATGACATAACCATTCGTATTGTAATAATTGGCATCCCGATGGATTTTTAGTGCCGTGCATAATATTAGATTTTCCCAGAGATGTATCCATTAAAATCGAGTCGTTGTAATTGCATAAACAAATGTTATCTCTGGTTTTGTTATCAAATCTCGTATTTATATCATCTAACCTGTTCGTTGTTTAACTGTTCACGAGTTTACCCAATAAATTTCCATCGATTTCTATCAATTCCATTATTTTTTTTACAAACTGGCGCACAGGCAAAGGTTAACATGGCGAATGATCGCCTCGGGCGGTTCTACCTCGAAAACACGGACACAATGGCAGGGCAGGAAATTCGATCATTCAACTACTCACTCTAGAAAGACCTCGGATTCGCTTCGGGGCAACACCAACCTCGGCAATACGATGGCCTTTTTGCGCCGGCTCTTAAGCGTCTGCGTGGCGAATTGGAACTCTGATGTCTGCAATGTCTGTAGGGGTGAATGCGGGCTCAGGATCGTGATCTTGCGGTCGCTACCACCTGGACTGGTGAGAGAGAACACACTGGTCGGCGGCGGTAAACTGAGGTGCTGCGGTATCTTTCTTTCCAAACCGGTGTTGGCGAAAAGGCCGCGCCTGACCTCAGCATTCATGCTCTCTTCTCGATGAAGATTCTCACTGCTCTTCGATTCGACTGTCACTATCCTGCGCACGTCTCTCGTAGACGACGTCAGGAAACTTCTGTAATGAGTCTTGGAGGAGCCTACATGTGTTTCCGAGGACGAGGACAGAGACTCCATCGACTTGGAATCTTCGCTGTAACGATCGTCGGCACTCAGGAAGTTTTTCGACGATCGCAGACTCTCCATCGATCTGGCAGTCACCTGGCTGACGGCACCTGTTGTTAATAAATGTTGTTGTTGCTGACGCTGCTGTAGCCTCGAGATGCTCTTCACCTCGGGTTCGTATTCCTCCTGGCTGGAACTGGACTGCGGACTGCGATTCGTCACCATAAAAAGGCCCAATCGCGAGCTATCGCTCACACGTAGGGACGACACCGTCGTTCTTTTATTACGTAGAGATTCAGCCTCATCAGGAATATCCAGGGAATAACGACATTTCTCATATAATTTGCGCGCCTTAACAGATTGTGACGCCTCCTCATCTTTCGGTAAATTCTCTACTTCGTTTTCGGATGCGCACTCCATCGTGTCGGAATCCGACTCCTGCGCTCGCAAAATATGCTGACTGATCTTCGAGGTAAATTTGGAGGTGGAAGTGGTAACTTTTGTGGAAAGCTGGTTCACCAGCGTAACTGCTTCACGCAAGTCTTCAGTATCATCCTCGTCCATCTTTGCAGAGTCGCTAAATTATTCAGGAAACACTTACAAAAGTTGCTGCAGTCAAAAATAAGAAACGAAGGCTTTTTTCTGTGATAATGTTATATCACAAGGTTGTCAGAAGATTATTGCAAGCAGTTATATATAATTCGTCAAAGAATTAAACTCGAAATTATCAAATTTTCACAGGATACGTTCATGATTCCACGTAGATTTCTTCGTCATCAGATTGGAATGTATTGTCCACGACACTTTTTTTCTTTCGATTGCACCATGTGTTCCATCTACACGATCTTGTCGCTTAAGAGCCAACAAGCTGAAAATCAATGACATTTTTCACCATTTTTGGAACAATTTTCTTTAGTTGGAGCACTTGGAGCTAGTTTCGACGTTATTTTTTGCATTTTCCATCAACCTCGCTAATAATTTTCAATAATAACACAAAATTCATGAGTGATTATAAATCGATATTTTTATTATTCAGTCTATTGCATATTTTATTGTTAAACGCTATAACAGATAATATTTTAAATATCGAATTAACAAATATGTTTCCAATGTTAAACATAGATTGGAGGTCAAAGGTTGGTAACCGAATCGCAAAGATAAAAGCGTCCAAAAGGAAATTGAACTATCGACAGTTACGTTTAAAAAAATATTTACTGAATGTAAATTTGTCATTGATACCTTTGTACAATAGCGAATATTTGTTTTCAATCACAAACAAGTTAATCGAAACTAAAATTCAATTATTTTTATGTCGCATGTTCAATCGAAATTACATAAAATAATCGAATCTACTATATTTATTTTTTAAATTTCATATTTTGAGAATACCGTAATTTTATATTTCCAAGAGGTTCTAAAACATTTACATATTTTATTTAGTTCTTTCACAGACAAAGAAAATAATTAATATTTACATAACAAAAAATTATAACAGCAACTTAACTTCCTACGAGAAAATTAAATTAAAACAATACAAATAAAACAACTTTATTTGTATTCAGAGTGAATAATAGATTTTGTAATTATATATATGTATTTTCGAAATTTGATTCATATGAATAATGACATAAATTCACTTAAACTGAACTATTCTTCTGACAACAAATGTTTGTAGAACATGTGTGCAAAAAAAGTAAGAACAAAACGAAGCATTAAGTAAATTTAACATGGGTTTCTGTTGCAATGTGTGTGTGTGTGTGTGTGTGTGTTGAATATTTTTATTTACGCGTATATAGATTCAATTTTTAGCGACTTGTCTAAGCGGGTAAACTGAACTGTTCTTCTGACGACAAATATTTATAGAACACGTGTGCAAAAAAAGTAAGGCAAAAAGAAACATTGAGTAAATTTAATATAAATTTCTATTGCAGTGACGAATATTTTTATTTGCGCGTATTTTCAATTTTTAGCGACTCGCCTAAGCGGGTGATCATTGATTTTTTTATAAATCCAATTAACGGAAGGATTGTGACCCGATTATAATTAAATTGCTTGTTATCGACATTTCCCCTCCCCCCTCCTCCTCCTCCTTCTCCTCTCTCTCTCTCTCTCTCTCTCTCTCTCTCTCTCTCTCTCTCTCTATCTATCTATCTTTTCTGTTCCTGAGACATTTCTCCGGAATCAGAACATTTATAGCTTCCGTAAGATTTTACTATGTCCACCGCGAAATTTACGAATTAAAGCATCTGTGTATAAAGGTAACTTCCTGGATTTGAAAGCTTCGCTTTCAAGTAACATGCAATTGACGCGCGAACAAGAATTCGATACAAGCTCTCAACAATGGTCACCGGTAGAGACAATACGTACAATAGGCACTGCAGTAGAGTCATTCAATTGCATCCCGCCTTAGTCGAACGCCCGTCTGGCTTCAACAGTTATACCGTATAAATTAGAAACGGTTGAACACTTTAAAGCTAGCTTATTTGTGTACCTAGAACTTGCAATAATTACAGTAGGAGATAATCTTCTGAGTCAGAAACGATATAGACAATATCTCGCATCTTTTTTTCAGCGGTATTTATCGTAAAAAATATCGTTTGTTTCTATGCTAAGAATTTCCTTGTTTCTTTAAGAAAAAAAAATTTTCTACGTAGAGGCATTTTCATGTTCCATAGTCCCAAGCAAATAACGTACGCGTTCCAAGCATTACTCACATAAACAAAGTAATTCACGGTATTAAGGGTAGTTGATGCGGTATGCAAATCGCATTAATTACATATGGAAGCGCGCATAAATTATTTCAACCAGTCATAAACGTAATAACGCTATAATCGAGATGACTATTACATAACGTAGTCTAATACTAATAAATTTATATTCCACACATTTGTCATGTTAATTGTACAGTTCGCTTCGGATAATGAGTAATATTAAGCAAATTGAATCACGTTACATCAATGACGCGAATTTAATAATAAACTTGATAAATGTCGAATGAGTATTGAATGTGACGATCTTTGTTGCTATCGTCACGTACTGTAGCAATAATAGTCTGACGAGCAATTTGAAATCTTCGAAACAACTTCTGTGCTGATTAGATCGCGCCGGAAGTCAATCAGATGGCCATTCGATCTCGAACGAACTTTCTGCTAAAGATTAAAGATTAGTCTAGAATGTCATAGTACAATGAACAAAATTGCTAAAATATTATAAATTGTTAATAAAAATACTAAATTCGCGTAAATTAAAAAATCGCGTAAATTATCGCGCTACATTAAATTTATTTTTCTATTAATTAAAACAATTTTGTGCCGAATTTCAAATTTAAGTTTTGCTTATGATACCTTCGTAGCAAGTTTTTTTATATTGTTTCATCGATTTGTATGTTGTAACGATATTTGATCAATCATAGTTAATTCGTTTACAGAAACAGCCATTTACAATGCATTAAAAATTGTTTGCTTTAGCTATATTGAAGGAACTAATATGCTGCACGCTGCTGCCGTTTCTATCAAAAGGCCGGTTTGTAAATAGATGCCAAGAAATTTTGCCAAATATTTGCGAAACTTCTAGTCATCTATATCAAAGTACGGCAGGTAAAAACATTCTTCGTTAATTTAACGTCTAAAAGCGCGCTCAACTGCCGCTCAACATTTAATATTTCATAGTACGTACATGATGAAAACTTCGATATCGAACTTTCAGTGTGTACTTGAACTTTTTCAGCTTTGGAAAGAAAAAAATCGTTTCTCCTTATTACAATTATATATTTTTAAGAATGATACGCTAAATCCTTTACACATTAAACGTTTAATTGTTTTTGAAGATTTCAAGTATTTTATGATATGTCTTAACATTTTAATATTAAAATTTTGAAACTTTAACTTTGATTAAGTTTCAACTTCTACGAAATTTCAGTGTCTTTCTCATCTATGATCTTGACATACAGCACGGGTATCTAATCTTTTAAAGGACATTAACGCGACGCCGTATTGATGGAAAAATAGTTTTCACAATCAGACTTCGTATCGTAAAAGCACTATTTCTTCGGAATGATCTTTTATTTTAAACTATTAAGGACGCCCACGTTGAAACCATTCGAGCATATCTACGCTGCAGATTACGTAGCCGATTGCACGCGAGGCTTTACTAGCATTTTCCTTATCGATCGCGCTCTTGCAATGCATAGGGAGCTTCTACGAAATGATCGCAATGGAAATTTGCACAATACAATTTGATCTCGGAATATATGCTTATTGTTATTGCAATAAAATTTAAAAATCAGAATTGCTGCACTATCGTCGAACTATTGAGGTATATTGCACTTTGTATATCAATGCAATTATATCGGATATTGTGGGAGTCGAACTAGTTGATTAATTGTATATTCGTTACGAATATTAATAATTAATTAACCTAGCAAAGATTATAATTGATCAAATATCCATATTTAAAGAAAAAAATATAGTGGTAGTAACTATAAAAATGACAATTATGTAAGTTTTATATACATGTAGAATTAATGTAGAATTAATGTAAAATAGTTGAACAAAAATTATTTTATAATTTCCAATAACTTTTATAATTCGCGTTAATTTATATAAAACTTGTACAGTAAAAAAAAACGTGTTTTTAGCCTTTTTTAAGTTGTTTAAAAATGTCATAGAAATATAGAAATTAACTTGAATGAAAGCTCCAACCTTAAGTTATAATCGTAAAATAAAGATAAATAATTAGTAATGTGACAACATTCTTTTACAGCACAAATATTTTGAAGAGCGCTCACCAACTATAGCGTATGCGTATATGCCATTCGCTATACATATACTGTTATTCTATGCAAATTAATTGTTTGAAAAACGTCACGATATGATTATAATTAATTGATTAGTTAATTTATGTTATGAATTAACCAACATTATGTAACAGAATATGTAGGTACATATTATAACATATAATATTATGTGTAACAAAATATTTTTAAGATCGATAAATTAATTAATTAATTGCATAATTATAATCGTAGGATATTGGTGTTTTTTCATACTATTTTCCAAACAATGTGATAAAAGTTTAAAAATGTTATAGTATAATTGCACTAAAATGCATTAATATTGACGAATTAAGCAACTGTAAATGATAACATACAATATTTTACAATCAATGAAAAGAAATACATTCTCTAAAGTAAAATTTAAAATAAACTTTAAAATACTGGGAGAATACAATAGTGAACCATAAACTGCTCCTAAATCATTATATAAGCTGCAGCCTCTTTCTATAATCAGAACACGTACTACAATCAGCTGTAATTGTCTCATCCCGAAAATAGGTCGTATCGAATTCAACGAATTAATAGGTCGTAGAAATTTCTGGGGACACGGTAACCTTGTTCCCGGGCTTAAATGAATAGCCGACCTGGCGATTCCACGACGGGCAGTCACGATTTGTTGATGACCACCGGCGTGAAATCGTTCATAGTTTCACCACCCACGCGAGACACAAGGCAAGGCTACATTACACTTTACTGGTACGACCCCAGTGAAACACGCCACTTCCGGTTAGATCCGTTTACCGAGCTCTATATAACAGTTTCATCGATTCCGGCAATACACCAGCTGGTTGCATCCAGATTAGGGGAAATGTTAGGTTCTAGGTCAAGCGGACTAGATTCGTCCTTTCACCTGGATCCATCATGATGCCACGCGATTTGACCATTTCGGTTGAGTGATGGACCATAGAATACTTCATCTCGAATGTATCTCTATACATTTAAATAGGAATGATGCGAGTGTGCATTCGTTCCGTAAATATTATACCCGATGAGATAAAAACGAGAAATCAAACTTTCTCTTTGCAAGTAGTTTT